CATGCTGAGTTGGACTCTGGCAATCCAAATGATGGTGCTGTGTGCGCAGCCTTGAGGAAATGGAGCCTCCACACTACTGTGGCAGCTGATGCCATGGATACCAGTTCCAAGGACTCGGACAGCTCAGCCTCAAACAGCTTCCAAGTTGAGCACCTCGCTGCGTGGGTCCAATATGTGGAGAAGTGCAGTTTGGAGTGTTCAGGATGCTGCCCAAGTGAGACTGATACCAATTCCAAAGCCCAAGCAGTCCTTCGATCAGTGCTCGAGATGCTCGAGAGAATGCAAAAGGTATGCAGCTCACGCGCGCTGCTGGCTTTGGCTGATGGCAGTCTCCAGAAAAAACCTTTGGATATTGCAAAGTTGGTGCCGTCCCAGTATCGACCTGTTGCGAATGCTCTCCAAACAGACTTTGCAAAAGAAGCAGACGCCTTGAAGGAGGACATTGGGCTTCAGGGTTTGGCTGAGAGACTCAGTTTGATGGAGTCAGCACTTTCTTGCTGTCAGAGTGAGCTTCTTCAGAATGAGGCCGCGTTCTCTCAGAAGCGTGCGGAGTGCCAAGAGTATGGGAACAAGTTCTCAGCGGCCTTGGAGAAGACATTGGATTCAGAGAAAATCACATGTCTGGATCCCACAAAGCAGTTTGTCGGGAAGTACGGGGATGTGACAAGCTGTGTAGAAGCATGGAAGATGAAAGAGGTTGAGTGGGTGTTCAGCAAAGACAACGAGAAGGACATCAACAGTGATATCGACAGCTTGAAACAAGCAAGGAAGTCGGGGCAAGAGATGCTTAAGAGCTTGGCCTCGATTGTGTCTTTCAAAGCTCAATCTAAGTTGCTGCAAGATGCTCTCAAGCTGTGCCACCAAACAAAGGAAGAAATGGAGGGTCAGCTGGCAGAATCCGCAAAACTTGCTGCAGTCATGGTCTTTGCTGACATGATCCTTTCTGGTTCAGGCAACGCTTCCACGGTGGAGAAGAATGAGAAGTATCTGCGGAAGACTTTCGGTGTGGGAAAGGACTCATTGCCGGACAAGCTGAAGGAGCTGGTCAAGGAGTCAGAGAAAAAGACTGGGCCACCTTCAACAAAGGAAGAAAAAGGTGGAAAGGGTCAGAGTCAGAGTTCAGCAGCCACCAAGAAGGAGAAGAAGGAAAAGAAGGAAAAGCAGGAAAAGGACAACAAGAGCGACAAGAACAAGCGCAGGCAGTCTGACCCGGCAGACCAGCATGCGAAAAAGGCAAAGAAGAGCAAGTGAGTGTGCAAAGCACTGGGGGTCAGGGACCTGCTATCATTGATCATTGCTTTCATGGGCAGTGGATTCAATGCAATTCTATCTAGTTTTTCCATTTCAACTTCTCCAAATTTCTCTTGTCCACAGACACCAACAGACTGATTGACCTCTGCGGAATTTTGTGCAATAAAGTAACTACTTATTACTAATAAGGTTGTGTTGTTTTTGTTCGAAGTGCAGTGTGAACCTCACAGCCCATGGATTCAATGTAAGCAGGAGTTTTTGGAGCTAAGCTGCAAATGTGCACCAGTGCACCATGACTATGACTGAGCTTCTGCTACAAGCGCTGGCAGCAGCTGGAAGAAACACGTGTCAAATCCCACTGCGTTTAGGGAAAACATTGGCTTTTGTGCCGGTGTGCACGGGGTTGTTTTAGCACAGCTTCCGCACCCTTTTTGGCATGTGTTGAAGTGGAAGTGGAAGCTTCAAAAAAACATCTTTGGCAGGTTTTGCTCATCGGGCAAGGCTTTAACCCTGTCGATTTCCAAGTGAGAACTACGGGCAGCCCAGCTGACTACTCAACCATCACGCGGCTGGCAGGACCTTTTTGAAGCAATTTTTCCCACAGCAGCTTGAACGACAGTTTGGAAACTGTATGCCCGGGTGGTGTTCAAGCAGCTTGCTTGCTTGCTTATGTGTATGTGCAGGAAATTCCATGACCACAAGTGTGATTGGCTCCTGCGTGATTGGCGTCATATGCTACTTCCTCTCTGAAGATGTGAGCCCAAGGCAGCATGCAGCATGATTTAGCAAATGAAAGTACGTAAGTCAGGGAGGTGCGTCTTTGGAAACAGGGGGGCTACTTTGACTATCGGTCGGTCGTGGACTTGTTGCAGGTTGTTTGAAAAGTTTGAGAGTCTGAGAGTCAAATCCTTTCATTTCACATGTTATGTTTGCTTTGGCTTCATGTGTGTGGTGCATGTGTGCGCACAAGTTCCAAAGCCTGAGTCTGAACAAAACTGGAAAACATGTGCAAGATCTTCAGGTTCCAAGTCAGATTTCAGTATTTCACTTCACTTCGAAACGTTGACCGTTGATGTACCGGCTGTACCGGTGAACGCCGTGTGGACCTGTGTGTTCAGGACACCCGATCCCAGCGAGAATGAGAGTGAAAGCAGCGGCAGTGCCAGTGGTACTGCTGTGCCAGCCCCGGCCGATCCAGCTGATGAAGATGGCACAGATCCGTCCTATCATAGTTCTACTGACGAATCGGTGACGTGGTTGCTTGGGGTTGGGCCTCGCACAAAGCTCAGAAAGCAAGAGTGAGGAGAGGAGAAGGTGGAACTGAGAGAAGTTGTCAGTTGTCGGTGTGTTTGCAGTTGGCTTTGTTTTGTTAGAAGACGTGGCCAAATAAGAACACCAACAGGTGACAGGTGTTAATCGAAGTCGGAGTCCTCACTCACTCTGAAATCTCAAGCAACCAACGCGTGGGTATTCGGGATTTGGAACTCCACCACACGACTACATGTCCGGTCCTGTAATCCTGTACAGCGCCAGTGCCTTCCTCTTGTGCTTATGCAGTACCCATGCCACTCATGCAGAGTCAGTTCGGGCGCTCTTCCCAGTCCTCAGCGGCTTTGCTGGCCTGGCGGCCTGTTTGTTTTGAACTACTGGATATAGGATGCTGCAAAGCTGGGAAAAGCAAGCACGTGGGCTGTAGGGGTGTTGGGGGTCAGGTAGATGAATTTGGCAACGGTTGCTGATGATAGCTGGGTCCTGTGCGGTGAATGTGCCAGTAAATTGGCAGTAGTCAGCAACACGTACTTTTCTGTGAAGGGAGCGGCCACACCATGACTGATATGTTTTTTTTGGTCTGGTCATTTGGTAAGTAAGTTTGTTCTTCACGTGTGGCTCGGGTTCAATGCTGAGCCAGGTTGGAGGACTTGAAATCCAATTGTGTGGATTATGATATCAGTAATACGATTGTATGATGATATATAATAAATATATATATATATATATGTATATTTGCAAACGGTAACCAATAACCAATATGTATAATCATATATGTCATAATGTACACGTTACATGTTACATATCGCATTAGCATCAAGCCCCGGCACTTTGCACAGTGGCCAGACCGTGTGATTTCCTCAGAGCCATGGGGGCCATTGGGCAAGTCAACCCTCTGTTACTTGTTGGAGTGTTTGCCAGCTGGGTGACAGAGGCTGCTGCTAGCAGCTCCAGCAGTCTAGCAGTAGACGAAGTTCTAGGTGACGTTTCCAGCATCGCCTTCAACACAGACGTCTTAGTTTTGTGCTGCACTTTGTTGCTTGCAGTCGTGACTGCATCAGTGTGTTGGCCCCTACGGCCTGCAAAGATCCAACAAGAGCGTGGAAGCCAAAAAACAGGACCTCAGCAACAACAATGTTGTGATTCTGGACCTGGAACGTGTGAGGGAAAGGGGGATAGCGTTGGCGAGGACTTGCCATTGCCAGAGTTAAAGGAGATCTGTCAGGGTCAGGGGCAAGTGATTTACATCACCCCAGAAGGGCGTTGTTTTCACACAAACCCAAAATGCAGATCCATTGCTAGCAACTGGCACAAAAAGACTGAACTCCGCCCTTGCAAAATTTGCACGGCAGGCAAAGCTTTCGAATCTCTCGAAGGCTAAATTTTGACTGAGACCGGAGAGCCATACTGTTCTTACGACCAGCCTGGGGCAGGATAAAAGAGTCAGAGTCAGAGGGCCTTTCCGAGTTTTCCAGGACTCTCACACCAATGTTTTTCAATGTTCCTAGTTTCCAGCATTTAGGCTATCATAGAATCATAGGCAAGTTTAAAACATTAGTTCTGACATGAGCTCCGACATTGTTCCTTACATGGGCTGCTTTGGTCTACCATAGGCCAATTTACAACATGAGTTCCGACATGAGTTCCAACATTGCCAGCAACATGGTTTTGCATATGGACAGAGATGCAGGCTAAAAATGGAAATAACAAATAGCACAAACACTTGCATGTAACTAATTGTGCCATACAGTTGCCGTTTCCAACGGCCAGGGGTGGATTCTTGTGAAAAGGGGGGGGGTCTGTCTGGGACGGCAACATCTCTTCCAGGGTGATGTGCAGTCAACGACGCCAAACGTAGCCGGAGTCCCCCAGCCCGGTGATGAGAGACACCAGCGACAAAGCATGAAACTCAAAGGGTCAGTAGACTCTTCATTCATAGTAGGACCACCCCGGACCTGCCGTTCGGATTGTAAACACCTCTTCACATGGAGTCGTTGATCAAAACGTCTGCATAGTTCTCTTTCTCTTTGTTCATACTGCCCATGCAAAAAAACATGTTTGCCGCTGTCGCCACCGTGGACTTCGTCTTGTGACATTGTACATCAGTGTACTTGGTGTGCTCTTGAGTGTGTCACATGCCAGTTTCCATACACCGTCCAAGTTGAGTCCACACATGTATCATCCTTCAATGGTAAATGTCTGCTCCTGCAATTCACTAAGTCACTACGCTTCGAAAGGAACAACATTCACTCCACCAAATCCAGCAATGCTACCGTGAAACACCTGTGAACATCCTGGAGCTGTGATGCCACTTCCAATAGTGCGGATGAACTGCCACCAAACCTTGTTGGCTGCCCAACAACATAAAGAACATAAAAGTCACCTGATTATAAAACAACTAATTATATATAGGTGATTTTTGCTGCCTTTTAACCACGCGATTCACTTCATCTCCCATGGCTACCCTCCTCTCTCCAGGCCTCCCCTTGAACCGCAAGCTGCTCCCACAAAGCTCCACCATCGCTGCCCAGCCGCGCACACCAAAGGTCCTTGAAGTAAATGGCAGGACCAAAGATTGGCGCGGACTCGCGGACTGGGTGGTTTTATTGTTAGACACACCCTTGCTCATCGGGGCATTTTTGACTCCCCTCATCCAAAACAAAAAAACAGCGCATTTCAACAGTAATTTTCACGCTCAACAACAATCCTCAAAACCTGGTTGACCACTGGAAGAAGCAACCTTTCTAATCATCAACCCCAAAGACACATACCCATCTTCAAAAGCTCAAAGCAATCAACACTAAAACATTTAACCACGGCCCGATGAACAAGGTTATTCTCATTCCCTGTTCCTACAATGCCAAAGCTGATCGCCGAAGTCTTTTTTTCAACACCTATGTAACGCTTCGTAACATGTCTCCTCGTGTCCCATCCGGTACTGCTGCGCTTCAAAGAAGAAATGCAAAAGGACAAACCATAAGCTTTGATAGAATATCATTGCTTGACTATTTCTTTCGACAAGAATGTATATAGGTAACCTTGTTCATGGGTGATGTGCCAATGTTATTGGTAGTGATGAAACCATCCTTTTTGAATGAGAATGCCCCTGAAGCAGTTGTTGGTAAACAGATTGTGATAGATCGAGTTCTGGTGGTAAAATTCTATCAGTAGACGAATGTGGGCGGCGAAAGGGCACATTCGCCAATTTAACAAGGGCATGTCTAACTTTTGTACTTATTATTGTATACCCTCTATATGGGTGTGAATGAAAACAGGGACCATTGGTCGGGGTCTCCCTATTGAAAGAGACAACCAACGGCGTCAAAAGCCATCTATGCCACCCAACGCGAACTCCACCGGGCCCAAGGTGTTACGGTGCGAGTGAGTTTGAGACAAGGGGCCCACTATCTGGGCCCTCATCTAGCATGGCAGTTGTTGCAGCTGTCAATGAACATATGTTCACCCTCACTACTGTTGACAGCTCCAGAAGCGAAGACGACCAACAAAAATGGCTGTCCCCTTGAATTATGCAGTTGGACTCTTGCGATGTACTCGACTGTCGACTGTTCCTCTTCCTCTACTCGTCCTCCAAGATCTGCAAGGAATCGCCACCCTTCCGCGTCGGCCGGGAACCGCCATAGAGAAAGACCTGCCAGTGAGGTGAGGCAGCTGCGCTGTGCTGGCGCAGCACTGCGGTGCTCCTCAGGGGTCCCATGGGCCTTTCGTCCAACATCCAGGATTCCTCTCCAAATGCCCTTCGGGCGCGCTTCGGTCCGGATTCGACCCCAGCGGTTTTTCCTCTTCCATGTCACCACAGGCTTTTACTTACGTCTCGGGGCAGGACGTGGTGAGCGAGAGTGCCACGGACGTTGTGCGTGCGGAAACGTGACACCGGATGAGCGGGGGGGGCACACGTTGTTTGGTTGGTTGGGTTGGGTTTGGGCGATGAAGTGTCACAGTCTTTGAATCACATCCAATACATTCCAATACCCGCGTTTTTTCAAAGATATTCGATCGCCAAGTGTGGATTTACAAGCCTGAAATGGTGGCTGGAGCTGACTTCGAATTGCCTTGCCGCGTCGTTTTTCTGAAATGGTGCACTTCCTACATCTCTCGTGAGACTTATTGGGTCTCTTGAATCTGCAGCAAGCCAAGCTTAGGAATAACACGTCACCATGTGGCGATTCACTGGTTTTTCTTTTTTTCCGTTTTGGAACTACCAGTTACCAGGGATTCGTCCAAAGGATATCAAATCATGCCTTGGCGGTCTTTGGAAACCCAACCTCCCAACCGGGTTGACATGGTTATATGGCACCACCTTGAACTCCTTTACCCAACAAAAATGGCTGGGACTGGGGAGTTGCCATGTGTTTCTGGACACCCAAATGGCCCACGCACCTCCGTCCCCATGGCCCAAAGCCACACCGGGAATCCCACCTGGCTGGCCGCGGCAAACAGCAGCCCTCCGGCGCGTGAGATGGGGCGAGCTCGACGATCAGAGGAGACGGGCAAGAGTCCTAGGCGAGGCTGGCGGGAGATGAGTCCTCTTTGGACACAGTCGGACGCTACGAAGCTCCTGGTTGCCCGTAGACCGACGAACGGAGCAAGAAGCGGCATCGGTACGAACCGTAACGAAGGGCCACGGCGGCGGCATTCCAGTCGGATGTCGCGCGGATGGTTGCGGAAGGCAGAAGAAATCCCCACAGTCTTGATGGCTGGTTCACCTAATTTATGCAGTGGTCATAGTCTGCACGCGGTGGAAAATTCAGGTGATATGCCGCGCCTACATTGCATTCCCCAAAGCATCCCTAAACCACCCCAATGTCCCATATGGAGTGTCTGGGGACTTTTCGATTAGCCGAAGTCTCCTTTAGTCTTACTTGTCTCAATTGCCGGGGCATCTCCGGGTCGCCCCGGGTCGCGGCCGTGGCGGGCGCCCAAACAACGAAAGACCGTGCACATGCAGCCGATGCTCTCAGAGGGGCGTGGGTGGCCATGACATCAAATGTATACCAACTGAATAATGAAAATGTCCCCTTAGGGCTCCGTGTAGCCTCTGAGAAGGTGGGACTGGGGTGGGTTTGGGTTTGGAGCCCTTGGGGCTCATGAGTCATGTTTCAAAATGCAGCTGACCAACGATCTACGATGGTGAACGTGTCCACTGAGAGGTGGAGGTAAGAAGCCTCTTTGAAGGGGATCAAGGAGTTGTCAGTGGAGTTGTCATGTGAAGCGTGAGGAAGGCTTGCTACTCTCATGGTTGTATATTTTAAGAGGGAGGTCTCCCATCCCATTTTTTTTATGATCACCCACATGCTTCAATAGGAAGTGATGGACGCTCCTATGGCTCCATGCAAAAAATCAGACAAAAACCATCTGAGAGAAGGCAAAGACCTTCAAATGGTCCAAAACCTTCGAGTCTGAGTCACCCAACGCATCAAAAAAAGCTCGATCACTGTAGCTTGCCTTTGGTGATGCTTGCTATTTTTCATGCAGGCCCTCTGTGCTCAGATGAAGTGTTTGGGAATGAATGTCTCTCTTCGTTTGGGAACATTGAGGACACAAGACGCTGACCACAAAGAGACACAAAAACACACCCAACCTTCGTTGTTCACCTCGCCAGGCGGCTCCAAGTGTGGCTGGGTAGATGCAAGGCATAGAAATCGTCCCAGTACGTCGCTCGGCGCTTCTTGTCCTCGGAGAAGCCACCAAAGAGCACCTGGGAGGAGCGGGCGCGGACCCGCTTCTCATGTGGTACTGTGGGAGTACAGGTAGGAGTGGCTATACAATCAGTCAAATATAATATAATATAATGTGAAAAAAGGAACAAGACAAGTGTCCCAAAGAAGAGTAGAGCAGTTGGGTATTCCCAAGAAAACTATCTATGTGAAGGGGCAGTCAAAACCTGTTCTTCTTCAACTAATAAGTGGATGTTGTCGGTTTTGGGGTGGAACTGTGCACAAACCACCCATCTCCAGTATATAAAAAATGTCTTCAAATGTTTTGATCGCGGCTCATATACAGCAGGGCGCCAGGTTCATGAAATCAATTCGGAGCCACAGTTGGAACGAGAGGTCAGACAGCGAGACGACTGGCATCACGAACGAACGTATGTTCAATGGATCTCGAAAGACATCGGATGTTCCTGGTTAAACTGCAATACCAGATTGGTCAAAACGCTAGGTAGTGCACGGGGTTCGGGTGTATGGAATGAGATTCAAGGCTTTCACGGTAAAGCAAGATGTCTGACTGCAATGTTCTTTTTTGTTCTGCTTTTTGTACCGGCAACCTTTGAAGATTGGGATCATCAAAGTAATAGCACCATATGACACAATTGAATTGAGCCATTGAGCTCCAAATCCATCAGTGTCCCCAACACCTTCCAACTTCGATCCCTACAACCGAAAGGACGTGAAGAATCATGAAGAACATGGAACCTGACGGCATGGACCTTTGATATCCCTTTTGCTGACCCTTGAGGGGTCGACGTCGTCTTTCCCCTGCAGGTGCCACGGACGTGCCAGCCCAGTGGCTGCATAGGACCCGGCCGTCGCCATCCGGTGCCCAGAGCGACTGTCTGGCACGCTGCCATGGGCCTGGCAAGTCGGCAAGGGGAGACGAGGGGGATGGAGGAGTCCAGAACCAGCTGTTTTCAATGGCCTTTATCAAAGAAGCAACTATTGTACTAACGAATTTAGACCAGTTCAACCATATTTCCAGATTATCTTGGAAATACGACATGCAGGAAACTGCTCGTCTTCCTGTTGTCAAGCCTCCACTGCTGCTTTCTAATTGACAGGAGGTCACGCATATTCCCGAGGAACCACTGCCACCTTCCTTCTCAGAGTGGATCTTTTGGAGAAGAAACATTCTATTCAACAACAGGAATTGTATTAACCTTAACCCAGTGTGTAGCAGGTACGACTGGACTTTCCTTCTGGGAGGGTATGTGGATCTATAGGGTGTGATATTCAGCCAGTCGGCATTCCAGGTATCAACCATATTTTCATCTGGAGAGTTGCCATCGGTCAGTCTGATATCATCCCTTATCTGCCATTTCGTTTGGCACCCTTCACTTGCAATCTCATGCGTTAGGTTCTGGCAAAGGGTAAGTTATAATTACAGCTCTACCCTGCTATATCACACCACCTTGATCTTTCAATCAAAATGAATTTGCTACCAGAACCTTCCTTACGAGGTCTCCAATAGACCATACTCTACACAAGTGGTGTGGATCTCCATCTAACCCACCTCCGTTGAAGGTTCAAGTAGGTGGTGTCCATCTCATCTGCATGAATAAACTGGTTGGTCCCAAGTTTGACCTCTTTGTTAAGCAAGGCTATTAATAGACACCTGCTTCATGTTGCCCTGGCAAAAACGTATCAACACGTATTATACACAATTATGTACGTAATATAACTAATTATTACATGCAACTCTTCTTCTCCTTCGTCTTCTTCTGGGTGGTCTCTATGATCGTTATCACTCGCTGGATATTCTTGACCTCAACTACAAGTCAACAAAACTCAAGACCAACACTCCCAAACTCCTCCATCGCTCGGGCTGCTCTGACCTACCTCCAACTGCTCCCAGCGCGTGCCCGGAGCGCCCGAGCACTCAAAGCGCCAAAGATCTCGGAATTGACCTTGGCAGCTCGGCTGAATCTGCTGAGAGTGGGAGAAAGGCAGATCTTTTTTGTATTTTAATTTTGGGGGACATCCCAACCAATAGAGATCTTTGGGGGATATTCTGCTACACACCCACATTCGTTTTGGGGTATGAACACCAAAAGATAGAGATTAGGTTTTTGTGGGATCTATTCAGCAGTTGCCGCGGGTATGGTTGATTCATGTTGACTCACCATGTCCACCTCAACAACACTCTTGGTTGCTGACAAACATGCGAGGATCATGACCTGGACTCGCAAAGTCTTCATTTTTTCTGTTTTTGTCTTCATTGTTCCGCCTCGGGGGATGAAGCGACCTTATACAGAGATCAAGCCGGACCTGGGCCTAGGGGATCACTAGACTCGAGAACTGTTTTTTTGATCCTGCACTTTTTCTCTTTTTGATCCTGTTCTCTGGTTTCTTTGGCCCTTTACACTTCTATTTTTGATCCAGATGCCTGCCTTGCGCTCGCCTCTGCCTCTTCCAACGGTGTGCTACAATGGAATGGCTTCTGCGCTCTCTAAATTTTGTCGTGGGCTGTCTCAGAAAAGGTCTGCTACATTGGACTGGCCAATGCATCCTCTAAATCTTACCCTAAGCTGCTACATTGGCTCCGCTAAGTTACTTACGACACCACTGCTTCCTTTCTTCCTTCCTTCTTTCTTTCCTTCCCACAGCTAGGCCTGAAAAAAGACATATGTGTATATATATATATATACAGGTCTATCCTAATACCTGTAACACTGGATGATGATGGTTAGTAAAGGCCTTGTTCAAAAATAGTAATAATTGTTTACTGACTGTTACAGGTAATAGGACAGACCCTATTACATTATATACAAATATATATATATATATATACAGTATATATACCACTAAAATATATTCCCCATATCAGTGAATGAAGCCACGAAAAGCAAAAACAAAAAAGCCAACCAAGGCCCAAAGCCACCAAAAGCCGAAAGCCACCAAAAGCCTATTGGACAACAAGGCCTCCCACTACTTCGGCTCGCAGCTTAGCCCGCAGCTCAAGCCCTCCCTCCAAGGAGCGATAGCGTTTCTGATCCCGGCTGGACCATTCTCCTCCGAAGACGTAGAGGTATCCGTCCGCACCAAAGGCCTCGAAGGTCGGTCTTCGGTCCCGGACCGGCGAAGTTCGACGTTCGGCGGACGGAGGTCACCCGGCAGGGTGGAGCGCAGCGTGCGCAGCGGCACCGCAGTCAACAGCACCACCCTTGCCGTTTGGTGCGAACCCGAAATGTCTGCCAAATGAGTACGGGCCCGCTTGCGCGGAGACCTGTCTAGTTCTGGTGCACCCCGCGTCTCTACACCGTGACCGAGAAAAGCGCATGACAGCACTTTTTACACCTTTGCAGAACCCAAACAGATTGAGAGGCAATACGGCTGTGGGTCATGGCACCTCCGTGCTCGTGGACCTCTCAGGTAGTCGCTGTTCAGTCAACCGCGGTCCCCGAGTACCCACTGCCATGTGAGGTGAGGGCCGGTTTGGGTGGGGTTTTTGCGACTCACTAAAGGGTGTACCACGAGTGCGAAATGGATGCCTTACCCCGAAAAAAGTGGAAGATTCTCGTGTGGTAGCACCATAGATGTACAGATTCTCATCTGAGTGTTGGTGTTGGATTCTCACCATAGATGTACACTACATGTACACTACCCTACTCCCCAAATAGAGTATTCACAGCGACTGACGTCGGTGTCGTCCTGACGTCGGTGTCGTTCGCAGCTGCGGATCGGGGCCGCAGGGTCGAAGCCGAGTCCGCGCCTGGTGCGCCGACCGCGCTTCGGGGCCCGGGATGGTGGGCACAGCGCTGTAGAGCTTCCTCGGATTAGTCTTCTCGTGTGCGTGCGGGATGGTGGGCCCAAGGTCGGGATGCTGAAGGTCGGGATAATTCATCCATGGGAAGTGATAAATAGATTCACCAAGAAGCAATAACTGTATTCTGTATTGTATTTTCGATACTATGGGTGAACGCAGCGGAATGGCAACCAGAAATTGCAGGTCCACCAGGTACTACGTAATGTGGATTGGCACGGCCCATGTGCAAGAAGACGGAGGAAGTTGAAAAAGAAGGTCAGAGAGAAGATGGGAACCTTTGACAGGTTGGGGAATGCTGGGAGGTCCAAAGCTTTCCACCGCTTTCCCAGGTTCCACCGCCTCGATGGCGGACTGGCACTGGGTGGTGCACTTGCCTCCATGGGACCCTGATAGCTGGGGTGAACTGGACCGGTTTTGACCCTCAGTCCGCCGAACTGGACCGAAGCAACCAACCGTGTAGCAGTTGGGGCCGAACGGGCCGCGTCTGGGCCGCGTCTGGGCGAACGGTTTGATTGGGCAATGGTAGGTACAGATTCCACACATGAAGTGTCTTGGGGAAACGAATGTTGTCCAGTGAGTGCCTGAGAGTTCTGAGAGGCCTTCGAGATCCGGCCACAAAAGAGATCTGGTGGACATCGAAGAAGCCGGTGCTGGGCTACTTAATATTGGTATACAGTCCCAATTCCTACAATTGTTTGTAAGGATCATTAAGGATCCACCCTTAGGACAAATTCAATGGTTCCAACCTGTTCCAAACCACACATACCCAGGCTTTTTCTCTTCACCGATTCGCCAGTTTCGCCCATCCTCGGGCGCTGCCACACGAACCGGCTGCGCCCGCAGGTACTTGTCGTTCCAATGACATCGGTGGAAATTCCATCCGAGAGCGCTGCACCATCGCAAGAGCACCCTGACTCATGGTCTCGCAATCAAATCTTCCAGAAGATCTTCCATCGGTACAGCAGTCCACAGAGCCTCATGTCTGCCAAAACCAGAGAGGCAAACGTTTCACACCCTGAACATGTATTCGAACTCCAACTACATAGGAGCAACAAAAAGTGCAAAAGTTCTGGCTGCTTGAGTGAGCAGCAAAATCCAAAAGAGCAAACCGATCAGCGTGAATGCTACTTCCACTGGTGCGCAGGCGTTCTGAACGTTGCCAACTGGGCTGGGGCAGTGGTGTCCGAGTCGACAAGTGTGCCACAGGAAATGGTCGCGAAACCAGCGGACGATGTTCTGTTCTTCACCCCTCACTGACTGCAACGCCCAGCTGAGGACTCCGCAACACTCGGAGAGCACGAAAAACAAGATACAGTTGGCACCCAGCCATTGAAAAGGCTTCAAGGCCGTAGTGCCTATGATGGTCATTTTCCGCCATAATGGAGAGGAGGGCTCTCGGTCGCAAAGGAAGAATAAGGCCGCATACAGGAAAATACCTGTGCCCGCTGTACCTGCGAGAGGATGACATCTGCTGACAAGACTCACCTCGCTCATATTCCACATCATCACTCTCTGTTGCACTAGTGCAATAAGCATACTCGTAGCACCAGTAAACCATTTTATGCGGCGTTCCTACTCATGAGACTCACCCTAAATGATTGAAAGGTTTCCAGTTCCAGTCCATTCAATTTGCTTAATCAACCAGTTTATCCTTTTAATCTTGGGCATGCAAATAATCCTCGCCCCTAAAAGCATAAAGGAACTGGCCTCTGAGAGGGATACACACCCGCCCGTCAGGCACATGTTTTGCCTGCCTTGCTTCTCCATGTATCAACATTCTAATCACATCGCCCCCTTCAAGCGACCAAGCAAAACAAGAACCTGAAAGTCGCAAGATGCAAACGGTCGTAGGTCAAGGAGGATGCTATTGGGAAGGATCCGCGTGATCCTATTGAAGGCCACTTTCAGTCGTTACTTCTCCGTGTATGAACAATGACCTGAAAGTGCGTGCCAGTTACAAAGGTTGTATGATGGCGACCATAAGCGCTTGTTAAACGGAATCCATTGTGTCATCCAGCAGCCGATCGCAGTGAACGTGGTGCCAAGCAGTAGCCAATGCGCGAAGAATCCTGAGGTGGAAGGCTTCCAAAAACACAGCACCCACACAAAACAAGAGTCAGGAAGGCACTAAAATTTGCTCGAACTACACGTCTTTCGAAGATGTAGTGATATGCTTGGATATTCCAAGATCTGATGGGACTGGGCTCCTTCCGTCTTCCTTGCAAAACAAATGGCACCAAGACTGCCAAGGCTCGTTGCAGGACTCGTCCAGATCGCCCCAGATGAGCCCCCACGAACATGGGGAACGTGGCGCTCAGCGTTGTGACCAAACCCTCTGGATCAAAACCAAAGTTGGGCGCGCCCTGACGGTTTCGGCGGCTGGACGGGAGGAGGAAGAATTCAAAGACCACCCACCTCTGCGTGTGTTTTTTTGGGTGAAATGTTCTGGAGCTTCGAAAGAGAAAAAGAACAACCAAAGCGTGTTTTGTTGGGTGGAATGTCTTTTTTCAATCTGATTTGACAGCCAAATGAAAGTGGTTGGACACCTGTGTTTGGCATGACTTGCTGCGAACCAAGTGGCCTCATCGGCCCATGTCAGTGGTAACTGGATTCATGAGGATTCACGGAAGGTGCATCGGCACTCCCAAAATCTGTGGAGGTCTTCCAGGGAAAACGGGTGGCTTTGGGACCTAGAGATGATGATACTTGGCCTAACTTCCTCTGGTCCACCTAGCTGGCGTCCAAAAGCAAAAAAAACAGAACATAACATAACGTGACTGAGCATGAACAGAATAGACTATAGACTACCAAACACGTCGACCTACAGTTTTGGGTCTTCAGGTCTTGACTCACAGCCACCTCTTGACCAATCCGAGACCGATTGCCTTGGGTCCTATGGACGTGCCCTGGACGTAGACGTGTTGGACGCCCAGGAGTATGGAATCCAGCCAGCCGGCTCTGCTGCAGCCCATGTCATGCAAGCTGACGACGTCAGAGGAGGAGTACAAGGTTGAAGCGCCTGAAGTCCCCGTGGGTGAGGGAGATTCATGTGTTGGGGCGTAGAAGCACCCGAGCTTCTTCACGTCACCCTGGAAAAAGGTGTGGGCACAAGGGTCTTTGAGGGCACAAGGTCTTCAACCTTTTCCAACAAGGACCAAACGAAGGCATTGGGTGTCTGGACGACTAAAGAAGGAGGATGAGGTATACTCAACCACTTCCAAGACCAACCTGCAGCCTTGCAAATGATCGATTTCTCGCAGATTCTCACAGTAGGTTTCCAAGTAGCACCACCGACCCGTCCCAAATAACGATCCCAAACTCTTAGCCACTCCAAGGGTGAGCACCAGTCCAAGGGGCAGCCAGGCCAACTGGACGGTGGAGCACCATAGGTGAGACACGTTCCCAGAAGCACCAGCAACAGCACCAGGATCCACCTGATCTAGTGCATGGAATGCAGGCTGGATCCTGAGAATTCCAAACCTCCCTCAGTCACTAAGAGAACACCCACCTGAAAATAGAGACATTTCTGACTGCGGCTTAGCAATAAGGGGTTGCTGGATCCAACATATAGTGGGGGTGAAACTTCCTTCAGTAAGTCACGTGGCGTCACCGAAAGCACACGGTGCAACACAGTCAAGGCCTGGTGTGAGCAACATTTGGACCTGCGATCTCATGGTGAGAAACCCGAAAGTCGTGCCTGGTAAATGCCACTCCTCATTTCACGCGTCTCGACGTGGAATTTCATGTAACTAAGCATGTTTGGACTTGATGACAGTCATGTCCGTATGCCCATCACAGCCGCACCACGTCGCCTGAGCACGGTGCGCCAAAGCAGCCACAAACCGATGCCCTGTTCTTCTGGCAGCAACGCTTCAAACGCATCACCGTCGCCATCGCGAGAACCACGTGCGGGAACAAAGAGATCGATTAAGGAGACGAAGAGGAACACAATGGCGATCCGCTGTAAAATTCCCATGATGCGCACAGTGCCTGGAATGGAACCCGAACCACCCAGATTGGCAGGTTGCTGCTCAGCAGCTGCTTGCCGGCTGACCAGCAAGATTACAGTAGGATTGGCAGGTTCGTGCGCAGCAAGGAAACGGTTCTGAGCAGCAGCCACCTGCCAATCTTGCTGGTCAGCCAGCAAAATGGCTGCTGAGCATAAACCCTCCAAACTTCCTGTTCAGCAAACAAGCAGTTGCGGAGCAGCAACCTTCGAATCTTGTGGGTCAAAAAGCAAACAGTTGCTGAGCAGCAGCCTTCCAATCTTGCTGGTCAAGCAGTTACTGAGTCAGCAAGCCACCGGTTGCTGAGCAGCAAACTGCCAACAGTGCTGGTCAGCAAGCAAACGGTTGCTGCTCAGAGTAACGAATATAGGTGAGTCGACGTGAGACACACCTACCCAATCACAATTGAAAGTGCGCAAGAACCCAACAAAGTAGATTTCGTGAAACGTGACAAGTTCACCCGATGGTTTTTGGAGTAGGGCATGCCCCCCGCCACCACCTTGAGTCGTTCTCCCCCGGAGAGGCAACAAGGCGGACCTGCTGTTCGCACGTCTACCGGGCCTAAGAATGCTACTAGTAACAGGTGCCACGCTAGTAGTAACAGGTGCCTTACTAGTAGTAACAAGAAGCTGTTAGAATTAAATAAACATTAATAGCTTCTTGTTACTACTAGTAAGGCACTTGTTACTACTAGCGTGGCACCTGTTACTACTAGCTTCTTGTTCCCACGTCTACCGGGCCTAAGTTCAAGACCAAGAGCGGCCCAGCAGGCGTCACATGGAAGATGCTCCCCTGCACGGCCAGGCCCAAGAGGAAGAGCCGCAGCGCACGGAAGGCGTTTCGCCGGAGCACCGTCCACGGTTGGATCGTTGGGGAGAGGCTGATGTGGAAGCTGATCCTCGAGGTTGGATTAGGCTTTAGGACACCTGGAGCAAGTATACCTGACCTCACATTCGCCCTTCAAACTTGGCTTTTGAAGGGAAGCACGCAGAAAAGAAGTAACGTCTGTGCAAGCCAAACCAAGCAAGGAAGGAAACTAGTTACTAGTTTGTTCCGGGCGTAGATTCAACACAGCCATGTGAATTTGGATGTGCCATACTGCACGCTCATCAGATACCACAAAGGGTGTTGGTTCACCTTGACAGCAGGACGGTCATGAAAGTTGAAATCCACCAAGGAACGTGTATTCATTCGTGCAGAGTTAATTTGCAGAAGACAGAACATGACACGAACATCCACCCCTTTCAAACTGGATGTCCACATCGATTTCCCTCCCAAGCATAAAGGAATGATTGAAAAGACATCCTCATTCCAGCCCGGCCATAGGTGGGGATATACAAAGTGCCCCTCAATGGTTAGTTGAACCTACCTCGACATGAATCCTAAATCTTTTGCGTACGAACTCCGCAAAACGAGGACTTCCTCTGTCAGGGCGTTCTGCCGGGCAGTCTGCAGAGTCCTATACAAAAGAACTTCTTGCTTTCCATGTTCCCCGAGATCAGCAAGAAGTACGGCATCACCAAGTCTGCCAAGTGTAAGCCGTCCCAGGGTGCATGTCCAATGCTGGGATAGAGGTCACCCAAGGTGTCCACGATGAGCATCACCTCAAGTTCAGTCACGCTTCCTTGCAACATCAATTCTGACATCATCTGAGTGTGAAACCAATTGCACTTCGACTCACTAACATGGAAATGGACAATGGCCGCTGGGAAGACCATTTTCCTTTACAAACAGGTCCTTTTCCACGTAACCATGTGACGGAACGCGTCACAGGTCACAGCTTCGGGGTCTCTCCCTCGGGTTCCGACCCTGGGGCTCCTCCCACCGGCAGAAAACCGCCTTCGTCCCACCGCGTCACGGCCATGGTGATGCCACGCAGGACGTCCAATCCCACCAGCCGTCGCTTCCCGCGCGCGGGCGAGACCGAAGCGGGCGCGGGCGCCATGGGACGCGGTCGACACGTCGACGCGTGGAGCGGCGACAAGGTGCCGACAAGGAGGGTGCCCAAAAGTCGAGTTGGAAGCAAGTGAAGGAAGCCCAAATGGGATAGTTTTTCTATACCAGGCCTACAAACCACATACTGTGCCTCGAAATCATTGGTGTTTGCCACGGATTTCTTGGGGTGGGGTTATTCCGTCCAATTTTCATGGTTTGGGGTGTTAGAGTATGGTTCTTCCAAGTGCGGCAATGGTTGCTAGCTTGTATTTGTGAGTGGCTCTTTCAGCACAAGCCTTCCCAAGCATTCCTATTCAAAACATGTCCATTCAGAGTGGGCAAGGTCAAGCATGAAGCAACCAGTCACCGCAGATTTGTTTTCGACAAGCAGGTGGGCGGCCTGTTGAAGGCTCACAGTTTCTGTTGCCACTGAAGCCCGCTACCAGCGGTAGCAATATGGCTTAATTGACTTATTTGCTAATCAACCCTAAGTCCAATTCGTCTGGGCTCTTGTTTTGGTTGCCAGACCTTGAGCCACGGAGACCGAACAATGGACTACAGTGACACATATAATAATTAACCTCTTTTTCGATCTGTTCAAGGAACCGCCCACACGTACAAGTAACAAACACTCACACCCTTGCGAACAAGTAGAGAACCCTTTTCAATGCTTTCCAAGAACGACTATGCTTCTGGCTCAATGGGAAACGAAGATTTGGGATTCCACTCTTCTGAAATGTCCATCAAAAGCGGCAGCGCCAAAACAACACCAAGCTAAAAATACATGGGTATGTGTGCGAAGAAGTCGTGAATCTTCCAGACCTCTGATCCTAGGATTCCGCTGCCTTCCACGCGACGATTTCGCATGCGAAGCGCGCATCTTCATTTTTGGACACTCAACAAAGTCGTTCTAGGTCAACCACTGACCGGGAATGCGTGCACTAGGAACTGAAAGGGGGTACCCTACCCATGCGAACACATCATTGCTAGTGGCTTTAGCTACATCAACGAAGCAAAGCTCCTTGTGCTCTGACGTCAACAGCCCCAGAACATGAACAAACAAGAAACCCTACTTAGGGCGATGTGTCGCGGATCTAGCAATAGAACATATTGAATGAAGCTTTGACCCACAAAACGACAAAAGTTCCGCTCATGAGTCATGAGGTCCAGTTTATGCCTGAAGATACAACCGTGCTTTGCCCAGGAGCTGTATTTCAATCCTTGGAAGAAGCTGCTATTCCACCCTGCCTATTCAAAAAGCTCCCGCAAGCTTTCTGTCCGTCTGCCGAGCCACTCCCAGGGCAAAGGCGTATCCACCTCCACAGCGCCTGGACACCAGCAACATCCAAAACAAGAGGCTTGAAATCCATCAGCTGAATCTAAAATGGCTTAAATTTAAACTAGTTGAATCCATCGCCCATCCAAAAACGTGTTCTTTTCTTCCTTCTTCCATGGACTGAAAGCGCTCAAACATACTCTTCAAGCAAACCCTGGCTAGTCCCGCCCAAGTTGCCGGTTTCACTACTCCGTAGGTCCCCTTTGGAACATGCGCGTCGCGCGGAACCGCTCTTTTTCAGCCCAGAGACCCATCTCCAAGCGATAGAGATCCTTGGAAACAACGACCCGAGGTTTGTGGGGCTCACCTTCTGGCGTTTCCCAAAGAAGGAGTGAAGAAACCAGAAGTTCCTCCTGATAGCGATGCCCTTGTGACTAATAGCGATGCACTTGTCACTAATAGTGATTTGGGCATCAGACGAACCTACTGTCCCAATTTCTGGCTCTTCTCTGCAGCAGGGTCAAGCAACTGGGCCACTTGACTTTCAAGGTCTGCACATCCCATTTCTTGAACCTGGATTTTTCTGGCACTTCTGTGCCACTGTGGGGTGAAGCAACGCCACTCGCTCAAGGTCAGGTGATGAACACAAAGCCCAATCGCCTTTTGATGAATCCTCCAGGTCAGCTGAGCTATAGCTCAAGGTCAGCTGATCAAACACTGAAACGACTGGCTAGCTCATACTAGGGAACAAGAAAAAATGGGATATTCTTCAAATCCCGTATGTTGACCACATGGACCGTCCATGCTGCCGCAAGAACCAGACATCAAACTTACACCACCGGAACCGAAGCCACTACCCACCCACCCCAGGTGTTTCTCCCATCCCCATGGGCCAACCTGCTCTCTCCCTGCTCCGGTCTCCCCAAAACCCAGACGTTCGCTTCAGATTCGCTCCAAGGGGCTGAGTAGAAGGTCAGCTCTCGTCCGTCGTAGGCCTCTCCACCGAAGATCAGGATCTGCTCACCTGCAACGCTCCGCCAGGTGCGGCCACGCTGTGGCGGCAAAGGTGCGATAGGAGATGCTTCAGCCTGTGATCGTCCCGTCTAAATGAGAGGGAAAGCATTCAGTCGTGGCCAATGAGTTCAACAGGTCTCTTTTTGGCATACCTGAGACTCTTCATGGTCACCTACCTCGGCGCAAACAAGGCTCTTTGATCCGTCCAATGATTTCCCAATGATCTTATATCGAGTTTAGAAGTGCCACCAGCCAGAAACGAAACCAACCGTTTGCAGCCGAAGAATCACTGCAACCAGTTCCGCTTTAAACCTGGCCTCGGTCTGGAAGGTGGAAGCTGGTGATGGAAAAATGGCTCCTGCGGGCGGCCAACGCGCGGAGGCAAGTGCCCGGGCGCACGTCCACGAGTGCATACGTACGATCATATGACCTCTGGAAGCGGCCATCACCGAGAAGCATGTACAGCCTCAAGGTTTTCCAAGCAAATCAGAACATTTGACTCTCTTGTGCTTCTTGGGTGCTGGCAAGCGGGTACAAAGTTACGAGGATCTATAGGGATTTACGGAAGGATTGTATGAGTAAAAGTATATCATTATTATGCCATGACCCTATCAGAATGGGCTGTGATTGGGCGTCAGGACAGGGTACAGTCAGACTGATGGTTGCGGTTTAGGAGATGTGGATATCATTGCAAGGTCCAGGTGTCCGACATTGGTCCGCCAACTCCGGTGGCTCTTGGGTGCTTGGCTGTGGTTCTCTCACTGGCTAACGGGGACGAAAAGCCGTTCTGGGTACACATACCTGTTTCAACTAGCGCCGCTCCTGCGACCTCAATCGGAAACCAGAAGTCTTGTGAAGTCTTGGTCTGGACTAACATTGAATATACATATACAGTGATTGAATAATACTATATATATATACATAAATAATACATGTTACACCACGGACTCGTGAGGTGTCCTCCATGAGATACACATCTTCTATGTTTTTCCAGATCAGTTGGTCCACGTTTCAGGCTTCACCAACCGGGTCATCTTTAAACACACCGGACCGGGCCGGTCATCTCCGCCGCAAACGCGACCTCCGGTCATCTGCCTCGGCCAGGGTCTTAAGAAGCTGGTCGTCGCCGGGCCGTGGCCAATCACCAAGGACCACTCCTGACAGGGGTGGCGAGGTTCCACTGCCGTGGGACGGGCGATGTTTGCGGCCGAAGGTCTTGGGAGGCGAAGGTTGTCAGCATGTTGCTTGGGAGTTCTTTGGGAGGTCATGACGTTTTGGGGAGCGGAAGTTTTCAGCGGCCCCTCCTCCGATTTTTAGATCAAGAAGTTATAAGACTCGGATGACTGGAGGAGGTTGCTCATCATCTCTATGCATAAAGGCATCTTGAGATCTCTAGTATCATGATGTATCATGTATCCGGGTCTTTGAATTCTCCGGCTCATGGGAAAGCTCTTGGCGTCACACGACTCAAACGGCCATGGCCGAAGAACAAAAGACTGTGAGACACCAAGTGAGTGAAAAGAGACACTGCCTGATCCCAATTGAACCCAAGGTTTGCCTCAAAGCATCATGTGCATCAGACGGGGAATTTCCATGAGTACTTGCACCTGACTCTTTCATTCTCTGGGATTGTGCTACACATTCTCAGGGCCCATCCAAGTACATGTCACTGACCAACCCAGAGCAATCAATCGACCATCCCAGAATTGGTCGAACTTGGGGTTGCTTTTCTGTGGCGGTTCCTTTACACTCCGTGAAGCAATCATGGAATCAAGTGGAAAAGCACCTGTTTGTAGAGGATAATTGTCTTTCAACGGGCCACTTTCCATTTCCATGTTAGTTCCAGGGAGTGCAAATGTTGTTTGTTGAAGAACCATGAGAGTGGAACGGCCGGGTCTTGAACATGCGGAGGCAACCCTCCACTCGATGCTTCCTATTTCAGGTGAGGCGGTGTAAACCAATCCAATGATCAGTTGAATGGCAATAAACAGAACATTGTCTCACTGGAAAGCACTGGTAACAACTGGTAACAGCATCCAACTGTCTTTTCAGTGTAACACATGGAAGCACACATCTGGGCGCCTCTCTTGTCCTTCTTTCGGTAGCAGTGCTCAGCAACACACGCGGAAAACGCATCGATCTTTGGTGTCTGATGTCGAAACCGTGGAGGTCTCAAGCCCTATATCGGGGTGCTTTGGGGTTTCAGTGGTTTGGCATCTATGCCAGTCGCCTTAGTCGGGGTTTTTGGTGCTTCTTGACCGACTCTGACCATGCAAGATCCTGCAAGCCTTGCCCTCTGGCTTCTCGACCCGGCCAGGTGGCTTTGACCACGCGCCGCGGACCGCGGACCGCGGGCCGCGGCGAGGTCCGCGCGGAGCTCTCCTGCGAGGTGCCCTCCGTGACCTCCACGGGTGCCTCCGGTTTCGGCGGGAGGGAGCTGGTGGGGGTGGGGAAGTCTCACCTGACACGGTCCTCGAAAGCTCAACTTCTTCGACTTTTTGGACTGATGATGTGTATGGCTATGCAAGGCTTGGGGTAAACAAACTCAAAGCATCTCACTGCTCTCTGCCGAGTTGCATACTATAAAGATCTGTAAAGTATATCTATAAGCAACCCCCGCCATTGCAAACACCAACCCCTGATCCTTCAGTCAACCAAACATAGAACCAAATCCCTCTTAGGCCCTCCGCCGCACTGCCTCTCCCTGCCACTTCCCGCCTGGCTGACCTCGTTCACTGGGCCCTCGGCTTCTTCTCCTCGTTTCTCGCGCTTCTCTCGCCGAGCGGCCTGGCGAATACGGCCCGCTGCCTGCGGTGAGCTTAGCATTTTTTGATTCGCTTAATTTTTGGGAAATAATGGGAATGGTGGTGTAATGTGGTGTAAAGGAATTGCAGAACAAGATTGCCGGCTGCCATAGTCAAGCCCCCCGGTAGACAAAACTTCGCAGAAGGTGTGAGTTTGCTCTTCGACACCACACTGGATAAACCGAGTCTGTCGGGCTGGGCCGGGCTGCGGATGTTATTTTTTCCTGCGGCAAAAGGAGCGAGCGAGTGGATTGATTCAAAAGACCTGGGAAACATCACGGAAACCTCACGATACCCAGCCGAATGCAAAGGTTACCCCAGTGGTGAAACCGTGCCAAGCCCTGCGAGCCTGAATGAAGCATTTTGTGCATCGAAACACCCGCCTTTCTTGGTGCTGGTGGTGGAAGGATGCCCACCTTTTTTGGTCCAGAAATTAATGTTTCATAATTTTTTGTATACCTCGTGATGAATCCTAGATCGCATCTGCTCACACGTCATGGAGTATATGTGCGGCGTATCCGCTGTGACCGACAGAGGATGATTGGTAGGATAAGGAGTTTACATTGAAGTTGTGTGTCCCTGGACGCACGCGTAAGGCCTGAATGAGTGAAGATGTGCTTTTCGGCCAGGCAAAATGGTGTGAAAAGCCACCAACGACATATACCAGCACCTCACTGCCAGGTCACCGATCGAAACCAGTGAGGGCCTTTCCCAACCTTCCATTTCGGAGACCTGTTGGGTTCGGTGCCGGTACATGGCCCCAATGCTTTTCTTTTGAACTCGCCCTTGTCGTTCTCCAGCGAACCCTGGTGATCACGTTTGTGGCCACAACTGCTGCCTCAAAAAGAGTGGCGTGGCGATCACGTTTGTGACTGACGGGTCAACGATTCACTTGCGGCCACTCCAAGAGAGCGTCAAGTGACCTGAAAAGGGACCCAGTTGGGGTACTGGGATAGTCGAAGGTTCGGGTCCTGACCCACCTCTCTTGGGCGACCGCGGCGACCGCGGCTGACCTCCCTGCGAATCCCTACGACCGCACAGCGCCGACACCTCCAGCGCTGCGGTCTTGGCCGATCGTTCCGCGGAGCGCTGCGCCTGTGGAGAACACTTCGTGGGAAGCGCTGCCAGGTGCAGGAGGCTCCTAACCTAGACAATCCTCGTATGACTTGTATGTATATAATATATAAATACTACTACCCAGATGCGACCATGGACCCGAACCAACTGCTACATGTTGGTTCGATCCAAAACCCTAGCTGTGAGGCTCAAAACCCTAGCTATCGGGGTCCAATGAGTTTGTGGGTACATTAAACAGATTTGCCGTTTTTGGCGGTGAATTTGTAGAAACATCAACCGGATGAAATCCATTATCTGTTGACATGGAGTGTGTGTAATAAGTAGTTGGCAACCGCAGGATGCCGCAGGAGTCAAATCTTCGATTCACCCGTTTCATGCGAGAAAGGACACCTGAGACCGAGACTAATTTGCACCCGACCTTAGGTGTTCTGTGTTTGGGCACGAACATGAGGATCCAAATTGTTTTTCTTCCTCCCAATGTCATTGCTGGTGTTGTGTTGCCATAATCAACAATTAATCTCTCATACCGCTTCTCATACCCTGTGACCAAAGCTTTATACTCAAAAAAAACCATGACTCATCAAGCGGATCGCCGCATGATCTTCACGCCCTCTTCCCGTCGCGGATCGGCGGGGACCAGCGGCCTTCCGAGCTTCAGCCTCTGCCGCCTTCTTCGCCACCAGGTCCGTTTCCGCCGAAAGTTGTGCAACAATCCGTTCCACCTGACAGATGCGACAACAGAGCTGGAGGGCTGGAAGTGCCTAGAATCTTCGAGGACATCTAACTTCTAACTGAATCTAGCCGAATCTCACCCAATCTCTCTCCAACCCCATCCCGTCCTTTCCAGTCGATTCCAGCTTTTAGACCCCCAGCATCCCCAGCCGACCTCTTCCTGGATGAATTGAAAAATCACCGTGGCAGTGGGGCCAATGTGACGATTCCTCAGGCAAGTCCGAAAGCAGTGGACGTGGCAACTCCACGAAGCGGAGTCGCGATGCTGAGGGCGGACCGGTCGAGATCCGGCAAGAAAGAGAAACAAACCAAGGTCAAATCAAAAAGGTGGTCGAATGACCTCAGCAAGCGAGAAACATCCCTGACCCTCAACGCAACCGTAACATCATGATCCAAACAAAGAGAAATATAGATAGAAATAGCAGAACGATCCCACCGCACTTGACCTTGGGAGGCAACCCCTGGCACTGGATGAGAGAATAAACAAGGGCACCCCACTCGACCCAACTGATCGCAAAACCAGAAATGCAAGTCAGATTCCGTAGCCAAACATGAATCAAATTCAAAAATGAATTCAACCCCAGGAACTGCCACTCCACCCCTCCATTGGTGGCCAGCAAAAACCCTCCAGGCCGTTGAAGTGTTTCTGGTGTTGCACTTCCCGAAGTAAAGGCTTGATACCAGGCATCATGTATAAGAGTGGTAAGACAATAGGCACTGTCAACAAATTGAAAGAGCATCCGTCATGATCCTGGACCATGCGGGGATCAGTGATTGTCCAATGTATGAAGTGGCATTGCGCACGAAGTTTGGAAAACTGAAAACAGGGCCTTCAATGGGTCCAAGTTCAGTTTCTTGCCCTCGTGGTCATAGAGCGGGTTGACGATGTAAGGTATCCCATCTTTGTTGACAGGGATTCTATATGATGTGGTCGATTTCTCCCAGGCTTCGGGTTGAGCCGTGTCGGGATGGCCCAATTGATCAGCTTTACAAATACTACAAACTACTACAAACTACAAACTACAACAAACAACAACAACCAACAGCAACCAACAACAACCAACAACAACAAAAACTGGGAAGCCGAAGGCGCTTGTCGGGATGCCACTGTGCCAACAGTTGTCGCACCATGCGTTTCTGCTCCTGTGCGCCGAAGCCCCCAGGGAGGGATGGGAATCGCACAAAATCGATCCGAAGACGGAATTCACATCCCGTTGGATGAAGGTAACTCTAAGGAAGAGAGCACCCTAATTCTTTACCCAACAGTTCTATGCTTGATCAACATTTTGCCATCTATATATTACTATGTAGCCGTAATTAACCCATATGTACTCTTTGTTGGACGCAACTGAACCCTCTAAATTCCACAGAACCCTCTGGTGTCGGCCAAATGCTTGATCTCCCGAACCCCGTCAGTTTCCCTTTATTTCTACCTGATCAGTTTGAGTGGGGAAACCGATCCCCCCCAAAAGGGTTATAGGTCCACTGACAGAAGAGTCAGTGTCTACAAATGCAGGTGGCTGCTCCTCCAAGGGCATCCCCGGATCCTTGGCCCAGCTCAACAGCTGCTGCCGGATCCCGTGCTTGATCTCCTGGCGAAGAAACACGTCGACATTGGAGCCAGCTGGATTTAAGCGAGAGACGTTGGTCTTTGT